GCGCCCCAGAGCTTGCTCAAACCAGCGTCACTTCTGACAAATTTTAGCGTCGGAGATAGCTTATCTGAACTTAATGCAAACGTTAGTTGAATTGTCATGTACGCTTTATTTTACTGTTCCAGTATCACAATACTTTGGCCCGAGTGTCAAGGAGACATCCATCTTCAATCTTCTCTGGTACCCCTATGTGTGCATTGAGACTCAAAGCGCTAAGGTTGAGGTTCCAATGAAACCGGCGCAAAACAATGTCTATGTGAGTCTTTGCAAAATTTTGAGTCTAGTAGGCCAGCTTGTTGTATTTAATCCTTAATCCTTCCTACCATCTCTTTCTGATTTCACTTTTTCCTGTCTTGTCTACAGAAAGCTTCTCTGTCAAACTTCGTGCTGAACAATCTGCGTTTGCAATGTCACTACAAGTTGCGCATCCAGTTGGCCGAGGAGAGACATTTAACTGCGCCTCAAAAGAGAGTCCTGGAACTCTGCTTCTGTACCCCTTCTTGCAAGGAGGTGCATATAAAGTCTGGTGAACCTCCAAAGAACTGCTCCTTTCCGAGTAAGCAGGTTATGTATGTGTGTTTATGCAAGCGAAGTACCTAGGAAAACAATGCAGACCGGATGACAAATTATGTTAGCCGTACCCGTTTCCAGGTTTGGATATTTAGCGATTAGGCCTAAGCCGGACGATCTACCAGTGAGTCGCAGAACAGTTGTCCTGGTATTTGCAATCGGAAAAAGAATTATCCTAGGTGGAGGGGTTCTTCATGGACCATTTAACGGTACATGCAGTTGCTTTTGTGCGTTGGGACTCAGTCTAGAGTCTTTGTTGTTCTGCTTCCTCATAGGTACTGGTCGTTATGCCACTACATGTGAGGGCTCTAGATTAAAGTTAGAACACTGCGAGAAGAGTATGTTTCGTAATCTGATTGGCGAAACACCCCCAACCGAATAAGAAAAATTTGCAAATCTCATCGATATTACTAATTTTCATCGACAGAGCCTAGGTGACCTAGCGGATACGGTGTATGTGAATTCATGATGAGACCGACCTGAACTGAATCCTTCGGTGAACGATAAACGATCTTATCTAAAATGAGAAGACATACAAATATTTAAACTAACATTAAACTTGTGTGAAATGACTGCTTTTAAGAAAAACAAGATTTCTGTCAAATCACTCAACCTAATCTACCTAAGATCTGTGCATGCGAGCGGGCGTATTAAAAATATCTACGTTTAAAAAGCTTTTGCATGTAGTCCTCGAGCTACACATGCTCTAAGGATTGCAGTGGATGGTATACTTGGTTAAGTGTAAAGGCGTTTAAGAGAAGTCTATACTCTACCAGAAAGCAGTCCAAATAATCGGATAGAACTCACAATTAGTAATGGATGACCTTCAGTTAAATTAAAAAAGGCAAATGCCTTTCTAATCCAGTAATTCAGTAATTTTCTCAATAAAGGCAGAAGATCCGGAAGCTCGAAAGTTCCTTTCAAACGAGTAAACTCAATATACAGAAAACACTTAAAAACTGTTCATGCCAGTGGTTTAGTAAGTAACCATCCAATTATCGCGTGCTTTATTTCACAAGCAAGAGATTTCGCTAACAGTGACATCAGAGGAATAACGGGTTCTTGAAAGCACAAAGTCGAGAGGCTGGTCAGTAACTAAGAATTTGGAATGTAATTTACAGATGAAGTCGTACGCGCACCATTCGTAGTGTACTATGACGACCCCTTCCACTAAAATTACTGTGTCCTGTACTGGCCGACGGAATTTCAACCCGCATGTTTCATCAATTCTTTTCCCCTCCTTCAATAACTTTGTAATGTAAACTTTTAATTTAATTTATGCGTTGAGTCATTGCATTTGATTCGCGTCACGGAGCTTCCCTCGAGAACTAATGACTGCGGTGACCTAAAAAACTTCGTCAGAGTCGCGTGAAAGTGATATTCACTACTAACCCCTCTTTGAAGGGGCGCGAGGGGGCGGTGGGGGTCGACATGCTTGTTCCGTCTCGCCTTTTAGCTCGATTTTACAGCCCTCCTAGGGGGCGGCTAAGTGTCAACGGACACCCACTAATCAGGTAGCCTTTTAACTACTCAGGCAAGAGTATAAACCTACATTCTCTTCTGCAGTTCGGACCACCCACCTGAATTCGGATAAATTCAATCGTAGCTGACATAGAATATGCTATTTATTTAACCGACAAGACTGTAGAACAGTTAGAATTACCGTTGTATGTTAGATTTCCTCTGCCTAGGCTGTTATATAACTGGAAAGTAAACCGGAAACGGTCATGTCATCCTCCGGTCTTTGTCGAAATGAGTTTAAAATCGTAATTTCCGTGTGATATTGCGTTATTGATATCAATTTTTGTAAACCCATAATCGTTTCAATTAGCACTCCAGGGCCATGACCTTCGGGTGCTAATTTTAACTCATCAGTTTGGAAGACAGCAACTAGATTACGAGTGGAAATATTTTATTCGTCCAGCATTTCAAGCCCAATTTCGAGTCTATATTTAAGAATGAGAGCTGCTTTTATGTGATGGGCTCTCCAGTGACATATGGGATTTTTGGCCATGGTCTATCATCCCGTCCTTTAATGATTGTAAGTGTCCAACGCACTCAGAAATGAATGACAAAAGGATAGTACGAGTTAATTTTACCGACGATTTTCAGGTGGAAATCAATACATGCACCTATCGTGGTTGCTTTTTTTCTGCCTACAGATCCTCAAATTCCCCACGGACCGGTAGATGTACATTACCGGTTAATCCCCACCGACCCAAACTTTCATCGCAACGTCCCAAAGCACTCCCCCAAACGGAGACCCACATCCTCCTTTCTTTCCTCATCTTCTTCATCTCAGTCCGAGGTACAACCTGTCTTCTATTCCAATGGAAATGTTGGACCTTCTACTAGTCGGTTCGATGCAATGGTCTTTTGGACGCCCCACCCAGAAACATTGAGCAGTGCTAGACGTTTCCACGAGTACAAAAGTCGCGATGGGATTTTTGACACTGGAAGACCAGCCAGCCTGGTTCGAGGCTATCGAGTCATTTGGGGTCCGCGACTTATAGAGCCCATCGAGCCTGGAATGTACAGCAATGGCATGCCGCCCCAACTGGATCCTGAGAAGACTGAGTCCAAAGTCCTCGACGTGGTAAGTCCAAACAAAATAATGTACCTGAATACTAGGCTGACAGTGTTCACGCCAAGCCAAGCAGTTCTTTTACTCATTGATGACCGTTCACCCAACCGCTAACGGAACAAATCCTTCCCGTTCTGCCTGGGGTTATGAAAGTGGCCCTGAGAGCAATAGCAGCTGGTACTGTAGGTGGATAGTATTACCGGCAAAGACAGGGGAGAGTGGAATAGCCATTGCTGGCTTATTACCTGTCGTCAGCCTGTCATACCCAGACACAAGTGACGTCCCACCCGAGAATCGACCTCGCGACTTCTTTGATCAGAATCAAACGCCGTAACCACTGAACCACGAGCTCGTTGTCTTGCCGGGTTAGGTCGAGAGATATTGACACTCATTGATGAACGTTCACCCGACCACTAACGAAATGGACTCTGATCAAAGAGGTCACGAGGTTAAGGCTCGGGTGGGACGCCACTTGAGTGTGTTTATGATTACCTGATGACGGCTAATAAGCCATAAATGGCAATATCATTCTCCCTTGTTTTTGCCCGTAATACTGCTAGTCCTTTTACTAGTTAAGGAGATGGTTTTTCTCGGTAAAGATCCTAAAAAGTAACTGAATGACTGAGTTTGGACATCAGTGTAGGCCACAAGGAATGTCAATCTGAGATAAAACGAATTATACTTCTCTCTACCTTTCCTCCGGTTGGAGTTGCAAATTAGCTAAATTTCAAATATACCTGTCTGCTGAACTTTGGGCAGAGTCTTGGAAAATTTCCGTCTGTGTCATGTTTAATTAGTGCAAAAATGTGCATTTTGAAAAAGTTAGTGTTTTCATGATCCGTCTTTACTTGATCTTCTTAAAACTTCGCACAGGCAGCCCACATATGCAGTTGCTCATATTAGAACAGGTTGAATTATTCCTAGCAAGCAAACTACGACAGAAGTAATCTGTCATTTTATTATTTTCTGTAATTACAGCAAGTTAACAGTGTGGTCCTGCGTAATTTGGAGCCTGCCACGCTGTACATTGTACAAGTCCAAACTATCGGCGCGCATGGCGACAGTCCAGCCAGTTCCTTGTTTTTTACTACTCCAGGTAAATCCATGTTCACACGTGTATATTTTTTTTGGTGTGAATTGCAAGAAGTCGTTTAATTTTGAATGAATTTTGAAATGATCTTTGGTACTTTAAGACCAAAGATAAATTGGCAAGCATGCGTTCGATTTCGGTAGAGTATCTTCATGCCTGCACTTTTATATCGTAATTAGCTAAATAAAATGCGCGGGCGGGTTAAAAAAATCGCGCGGTTGTCAGGGTCGATGGGAGGGCGGAGATAATGGACCAGCAATCTGATCAGCTCCAGGTAATAAGCTGCGGACGGTTGAATTGACACATTTCGGCAATTTATCTTTTAGTTTTTTTCACTGGCAACTTTCGCAACTTTAGTTCTAACCGAATGCTCACTTGAACTCAGGTTAAATTTGCATCGGTGTATCAATTCGATTCTCAAAACTCACGAGAGTTCAGATAGGATAGATACCACAGTAAGTAATTTATCCCATGAAACACGATGACGGAAATTAAGACGATCAATTGGCGATAACTGAAAGGTTGTACATTGAATGTTTGGCGTAATTGATTACTACTACGAAATAAGTAGGCAGCTATGCAAAGTAACGAAGAGTATGGTGTTACCTATAACATACTATATCCAAAAATTTTCCTTTTTGCATGCAGAATACGGTTTTTAGGAATACTATTATGCCTTTCACGTTCTTACCAATGGAAGCAAGTAAAACCTCATCTGCTTTAGTCAAAAAAATCTACAAACGGAAAAAAGGTCGATTCTCGTGAGGTCGTACGGAGTTGTATGGTCGAACTTCAGACTACTTGCTAGCGGACATCCGTGATAGTAAATTTAATCTCGAAGAATAGTACTAAAGGACTGCTTTCAAACGTAATCTTATTTTGCCGATTTATTTACTAGTTGTTTGCATGGACAGGTTTTTAGTACATTTACAGCGATTGCGTATGTTTTAGGAAGTTGTTTGTTTTCCTAAACAAAGCTGGTATTTCTAGGCAACATGCTGTAATTTCGGATATTTACTATATTTTTTAAAATTGCTATATTTTCTCATTACTCTTTCCCGACTTTGCTACATTAGTTGGTGCCCATTTGCGAATGGTAAACAACTCTTCGCAAATTTTGAAATTTGGCATGACTGCAATTTCACACGATATGCCCATCTAACCGATAACTGACATCCGAATTGTGACAACGAGCTACAATTTACTAGAAAAAGTTAAGCGTATCTCTCAGTTATCCATCCGTATATGCAGTCCACTTATGTTGGCAATGCTCTCTTCATGTTTAACTGCCCTCTCTTGCGTGCCAAACAGATAACGTCGACCTGGAGAAGACTGGGACAGGTATTTGAAGAATAATTTTCTTATGAGAGTCAGTTTTTTTTAAACGGTAAGGCCAAGCATAAGGCAATCCGAGCGGGGACCATTCAACGTCACCACTCCGCCCGCGTGACTTTAAAGGAGTATGACAACGATTGAATTAAGTAGGCGGGCAAAAAGCAAGCAAATGGTGTGGAAGTGGACTATAATACGTGCCTAGCTCCACGAAGAGTTTTGCTTAAAGCATTAGTGAAGACCCTGCTTACTAATAACTAATTAAAACCAGGTGTTAAAACGCAAGAAACATGACAGCTGCGCTTCCTACCGGATGAAAAAACTGATAAGGTCTGTCGGAAAAGGTTGATAAATTATTTCCTGTTTTCTAAATATTTAAGGGATGTCGGGGGTTTTCGCCACTTGCGAAACGGTCAAACGAAATGAGCGAGAGAGAAACAAGGAGGAAGCACCTTTTTGAAGTAGACAAAGTTACATCAAAATAACACCCAAAGAGCGTAGTCAAGCATAAGGAGAAAATTCAACTTTCGTTGTCGAAATAAGTACTTAGCGCGAGAACTTCATTCCTCCCAAGCACGCTCGGACAGATTTTAGAGACGAAACCATCAGTCAGCACAAATAAAAAAACAAGAAAATACAGGTTATATTGATTAAAGTCTAATTTGTTCCTTTCAGGAATAAAAACGAAGACAGAATCAGAGGCATTATTGCGAATAATCTAAAAATACATACCTGCAAGGATGCGACAATATCCGCAAAATACTCCGTTGATTTACCTAAAAATTTATTTTCAAAGCTTAAGTTGGAAGACGAGTCCGAAAAGGTCTAACGTAAATGACGAGAAACCAGCAAAGGCAAGTTAGACACCTGACTGAGCATCCCTGCAATAATAAAGCTGGTATTGCGTTATATTCCTGGTTAGATATCGAATTCCATGTCCCAACTCTAATACTAACCATTATCAAAATCATAATCCTACTTCAAACTGTAAATTTAACTTCAACCCTTAACTCAGAGCTAGCGTGACAACGTTAGCTGAAGACGCAAACTTGCAACGTTATGAATGAAAACGAATACGTGAGCCCCATGTCCCCTTTGCAAAGAAGAGTAGCGCGTAATCACTGAGGTTTCGGTCTCGTACAAGAGGCCATCATCGGAGACTGTGATAATGCAATAATAAATGAGCAGTTTTTATACCCAAACAAAGATAAAGCAGGGTGGGGTAGGGATAGAGAGGAGGTGCTGTTCGCGATAAGGCTGTGTGATGGTGTGCATGCTGAGCTGGGAACTGGGCCGCGCCTCGTGAGCGTAGCGTGTGATGGGAGGGAGGTATATCAATGTATCTGTTGATGGAGTTGGTGTCAAACACCCGGGCCTCCAACAGTTTACTGAACCAAAAAAAACTGTTCATTTTTTGTTACATCCTCCTATTCTATGATGGTGGCCTTCCTTGCGAGACTGAAAGTTCCAGCTGGTACATCTATTGTCTTAGGTCTCGTGCGTTCATCTTTTTTACAAATTTATATTATTTACCCAGGACAAAACATCTAGTGAGAGGGAGAGAAAAAGAATTGGGATAATAGTTTCATGCTTCTTGCAAACGTCCAGTCCATCCACGATATCACTTGACGTTCTCTTCCTCTCGCCACATAATGTATTAATGAGGAAACTCTAAGTGAATACGAGGGACCAGTATATACTGGGGCTGAAAATCTTTCCCTGTTTCAACTTAAAGCTCCACCAAGAGCGACTGATGTTGAAGACTACTACCAGACAACCTCCATTAGTTTATTTTTGAAGTCTTGTTTTCGCTGGCTTCAAGGGACAATATGGCTTGATGAGATCATCATATATATGGTATTATATGATTTCATAGAACATGTATGTGCTGGAAAGAATTTGAAACGAGCATTAGAAGAGGTTAGGTCACTTTGAGTGTAACAGTAGCTACCATATATGCACAGAGTAGGTTGCAGTGGTAGATGAGAGGATATAACAGACTTTGAGCAGAGAAAACATCCTGTTTCAATTATTTAAAACTTATCAGTATTGCGTTTGCCTGCTCCAGCTTGTGGTGGATGATAAAAGAATACGAAGTCTGTATATTCCGTTCTCTCTCTTTTCAGATACCACCGGCACTCGGGGGACGCGGTCATCCTCCGGCACTCCCCCGCTTATCTCAAGCCTCCTCCTTTTCCTCTTTATCACTGCCTGGATCTCTTCTACCTAGCCATCTCCCTCTTCCCCCATCCAGAGTTCACTTAAACCTCCACTCGTCTTTCTGCGGCTGTTCTAGTGCCGGGCCGTCGTCCCTCCTCCTCCTCCTCTCACTGCGGCCACTGACT